AGCTGTGGAGAGTGGTTAGCAAGACAGTTGCTAGCACGCGTCAGAAACGAAAGTGTGCAGGTGCGTTATTCGAGTTTAGCAAAATTGGTTATTGATAAATTTAAACAACGCATAAGTAGGGCCAAGAGTCCACAGTTTAAACTAGTTTAAACTAAACGTTCCATCCCGATTCTTAAAATACTTCTTCCAGAGGGACCCTTTTAATGAAAAGCACTGAAAATGACCAGAAAAATATGAAAAAGGTAGAAAATAATGAATTTACTGTCTGTGTTCTAGCTGTGGCTTCTTTCATATTAATTTTTGTTTTACTATACCAACGATCTTTATTGACCTTAAAATAGCTACTACTTAATACCCAGTTGTTCTGTTCGAATTAATGATGTCGACGCCGGATTGCGTGAGTGTCGCTATTCCGCCATATCACTTCATCCATGTTTTGGATAAAAATACGAATGTCAGCAAACTGGTTTCTGGTCCAGCTACCTTCTTCAGAAAAGATCATGAAAAGTAAGCGAACTTTTTGCATAATCCTCTAGAATTGTCAAAATGCCCCAAGGGATGATTACTATAACACCGAAATCATACTGCAAGATATTGAATCCCGTAAAAAAGGATGAAATTGGGAACGTCATAATAGATGAATATGACCAGGCTTCATTAGCCTATGGTGACGAAGAGTACCGTTTTGCCCAACCTCCCTTTCCTCTGTATCCTGGCGAAGAGCTTGTGAAGGAGGTTACCCCCCTTACTATTCTTTCCGCAAATTCGGCCCTCCTGCTTTCTGCATTGGTTAACTTTCAATCTGAGGGTGGTGTTGATCGCACAGCTGGTGAAAGGTGGCTTCTCGAAGGCCCCGGTATGTCAGTTGATAAATTAAGACCGATCCTCATTAAGGTCTGCACGTACTTAAGTAACATGATATACTTTCACAAAAGGGGCTAAACATGCACGGGATCTAAAGTAATTTCGTTTACCTGTGTGACTTTACTGACCAACACCTACAGTTTAGCTGTAATTATTTTGCCTACATATGCGTGAATCTGTCCTCCGAGGGTCTCAACGGATGTGTAACTTCAGATACCTTAAGAGAAAGCATAGTCTTCTAGGGCACTTTCGCCGAACTCGAAGATTCTGCAACTTCAATCGCGCATATCAATTAAGAAGCTAATAAATGCCATCACTTCAGCCGGAAAATGTTTAATTAGCAGCCGTCGCATACACCTTCATCACGTCGTCATCAAGAACGAAACGTTGACTTTTAATTTTTTCACCGCAGTCGTTCTTTATAGTAACGAAACTAAGAAGAGATCCTCAATTAATGACTTTTGAGGTCATTTAATTTTTCTCTTGATGTGAGTAGACGGGTATCCGTTTTGAACTTGTCTCTGGAAGTTATCACTGGATTCGGAATGCTCAAACCAAATTGTTATTTGTTTCTCGGTGCGTGCTTCTTTGCTCTGTATTCTTACAAGTGTTCGATACAAATAACATTAGTTTCCTAATGTGTTGCCTGCATTCCAGCATTTCTTGCTTATTTGCTTCTTCTTAATAGCATTCAGTATCAGTTTCAGTATGTTTGAGGGATATGTAGGTGGATGGCCTTTGAGTTCCCTATTTGCACATGTGTGACGTGGTAGCAGAAAAATTGTACCTCAGTTTGTTGGCGAGGCCTATTGACCTGAGCCATGAGATGGTACATTGTTTTTCTTAAAAAAACACTGACTATCAATATTTCATTTTATCAGCAGGCTCCTTAATTATTGTTATCATAAATGTTTCTCGCAACTGGTTTGTGGTGTCTGATTTTTTAACTACAGAGTTCACGAAAATAGTCAACTTTGGTTGTTTACGTTCAGTAAAAATGCAGGTTTCTCCGTAGGGTATAACTCACTACATGCAATCTTCCCTCAGGCATTTACAAACCACGTAAGGAGGTCGAAGTGCTTTCGACGCGAAAAGCCGAAATGATCAAACCAAACACAGCACTTTTATTGCGCGCTATGATGGATTTCACCGGGAAC